GTGAGGGTTCTGGGGGTGCTGCGACTGGGGGTGCTGGTTATGGCGGTGCTGCGAGTGGGGGTGCTGGTTCTTGGGGTAATGCGACTGGGGTTGCTGACTCTAGGGATCCTGCAAGTCCTAGGGGCGGTGGAGCTGTGGATGACTCTGCTGGAGGTCCTGGAGCTGGACAGCCACCGCAGCCTGATCTACTTGAGACGCTCTCGCCGCAGGCCATTCATGCGTGGATCGTTCGGCGAGGCAGACCTGGTGGTGGAGGGTATGGTCCTGCTGGTGCTGGAGCTGCTAGTCCTGGAGGTACTGCTGGTGCTGGAGGTACTGGAGGTACTGCTGGAGGTGCTGCTGGTGCTGGAGGTACTAGAGGTGCTGTTGGTGCTTAAGGTACTGGAGCTACTAGTCCTAGAGGTGCTACTAGTGCTGGAGGTGCTGGACCTACTAGTCGTGGAGGTACAGCTGGTGCTGGAGGTGCTGCTAGTGCTGGAGGCGCTGGAGCTGGAGGTACTGGAGGTGCTGGATCTGCTGGTCCTGGAGGTGCTCGTACTGGGGGTGCTGGAGCTGTCGGAGCTGGTGGTGCTGTTAGTGCTGGAGGTGCTGGGGGTACTAGAGCTGCTGGCACTGGAGGTGCTGGTGCTACTGGTGCTGGAGCTGCGGGAGCTGCTGGTCCTGGAGGTGCTCGTACTAGAGGTACTAAAGCTGCCGGAGCTGGTGGTGCTGCTAGTGCCGGAGGTGCTACTGGAGCTGTTGGCATTGGAGGTGCTGGTGCTGCAGGTACTGGAGGTGCTGGAGCAGATGGTACTGGAGGTGCTCGTACTAGAGGTGCTAGAGCTGCCGAAGCAGATGGTGCTGCTGGTGGTGGAGGTGCTGGAGGTGCTACTCGAGCTATGGCAGTGGAGGTGCTGGAGGTACTGCTGGTGCTAGAGGCGCTGGAGCTAGAGGTACTGGAGGTAATAGAGGTGCTGGAGCTGCTGGTCCTGGAGGTGCTCCTACTAGAGGTGCTGGAGCTGCCGGAGCAGGTAGTGCTGGAGGTGCTGGAGGTGCTACTGGAGCTGCTGGCACTGGAGGTGCTGGAGGTACTATCGGTGCTAGAGGTGCTGGCGCTGCCGGAGCTCGTGGTGCTACTGGAGCTGGTGGTGCTGCTGGCGCTAGAGGAGCTGGAGCTGCTGGTACTGCCCCGCACCGACTGTTTTTCTACCCGCAGCCGCAGTCGTCCCTGCCGCCGCTGGTGGTACTGCTGGTGCTGGAGGTGCTGCTGGTGCTGGAGGTACTAGAGTTACTGCTGGTGCTGGAGGTACTGGAGCTTCTAGGAATGGAGGTGATGCTGGTGCTACTGGTGTTGGAGGTGCTGGAGGTGCTGCTGGTGCTGGAGGCGCAGGAGCTGGAGGTACTGGAGATAATGGAGCAGATGGTACTGGAGGTGCTCGTACTAGAGGAGCTGGAGCTGCCGGAGCAGGTGGTGCTGCTGGTGGTGGAGGTACTGGAGGTGCTACTGGAGCTGTGGCAGAGGAGGTGCTGGAGGTACTGCTGGTGCTAGAGGCGCTAGAGCTGGAGGTACTGGAGGTACTAGAGGTGCTGGAGCTGCTGGTCCTGGAGGTGCTCGTACTAGAGGTGCTGGAGCTGCCGGAGCAAGTGGTGCTGTTGGTGCTGAGGTGCTGGAGGTGCTACTGGAGCTGCTGGCACTGGAGGTGCTGGAGGTACTCCTGGTGCTAGAGGAGCTGGAGCTGCTGGTACTGCCCCGCGTCGCCTGTTTTTCTACCTGCAGTCGCATTCGTCCTTGTCGCTGCCTGACTCGGTCCTTCGCCAGCTTCTTAGTCTCCCGTCTTCCACTGGCCTCACTCCACCTCTCCTGTGTCCGCCGGCAGATCAGTCTCAGCCTCAGCTTCTGCCTGGCTCCCCGCTGCCTGCTCCTGCTCCTGCTCCTCACACTGAGGTGACCGAGTCCTTGACAAAGCGTCGTGACCCTGAGACTCATGCTTCCACACCTGTTCGTGCTCGTCGTGTCGCCCATCCTCGTCCTCCTGCTGTCCAAGGCACTCACGGTATGACACTTCGTCCTTCCTCTGTTCCACATCGTGTTGTCCTGCCTGAGCCTTCCGCGTCCTCTCTTCCGCATGTTCCTTACCCTGAGTCCGACCTTGCTCGTGCTGCCAGTACTACTGTCACTCGTCTCCTTGCTACTGTCGTCACAAACCCTGACTTTGAGTCTACTGCAGCGTTTCCCTAGTCACTGAGCTAGTCAACTTTGCAGCTAGGAGTCGTCTCGACTACGTCGCGAGTCTTGTTACTGAGTCTGAGTCTGTCTGTCCTCCGTCCGTCGAGGGTGAGTCTGCCCTTAGCAAGTGACGTCCTTGAGGACAGACAGTTTGAGCTTGAGTGTCTTGCGGCCACTTTACCTCGTTTCGCATCCATGCTGCTTTGCCCTGAGGGAGACCCGGATGCACTTGACATCCCTACCCCGCGCTCTTACGCTGAGTACTCTTCTCAGTGGCAGACAGCCATGGACACAGAGATGGCTTCCTAGAAGTCCACAGGCACCTACGTCGACGAGGTTCCTCCTCTTGGGGCGAATATAGTCGATGGCATGTGGATTTTCAGAGTGAAGCGGCCGCTGGGTTCTCCACCTGCCTTCAAGGCGCGTTACGTTGCTCGAGGCTTCAGTCAGCGACAGGGGGTCGACTTCTTCCAGACCTTCTCCCCCACCCTGAAGATGACTACTCGGTGCTGCTGCTCGTTGCAGCACATCGTGACTACGAACTGCACTCCCTTGACTTCTCCACAGCTTTCTTGCAGGGCAGCCTTCACGAGGAGATCTGGCTGCGCCGCCCACCTGGCTTCACTGGGTCGTTTCCTGCGGGTACCCAGTGGAGCCTCCGGGGGCCAGTCTACGGTCTCCGCCTGGCGCCCCGAGAGTGGCACGACACACTGAGGACTACACTTGCGACTCTTGGGTTTGCTCCTTCCTTTGCTGACCCGTCGCTGTTTCTACGCACCGACACTACCCTGCTGCCATTCTACGTTCTCGTGTACGTCGACGACTTGGTTTTTGCTACTGCTGACACTGAGGCGCTTGCCCTAGTGAAGGCGGAGCTGCAGGAGAGACACACCTGCACTGACCTGTGTGAGCTGCGTAGCTATCTTGGCTTGCAGATCTTCCGGGACAGAGCACGGCGCACCATCACCCTGACTTAGTCACACATGGTGCACCAGGTCCTTCAGCGCTTCGGCTTCCAGTTCTCCTCGCCACAGCCCACTCCTCTGTCTACCGGCCACTCACTCTCAGCTCCACCTTCGGACGAGTCCGTAGAGCCGACTGGTCCGTATCCAAAGGTTCTGGGTTGCCTCTTGTACCTGATGACGTGCACACGACCTGACCTCACGTACCCTCTCAGCCTCCTGGCTCGCTACGTGGCTCCCGGCAGACACCGAAAGGTGCACTGGGATGCTGCGAAGAGGGTATTGCGTTACTTGTGTAGTACATCGGGCATGGGGCTCGTGCTTGGAGGACGGGGTTCAGTGGTACTGACAGGACACTCTGACGCTTCTTGGGCCGACGACCAGGCAACTCAGCGTTCGTCACAGGGTTACACCTTCAGTCTTGGCTCTAGTTCTGTCTCGTGGAGGTCCACTCGTTCTTCTTCTGTGCTTGGTTCCAGCTGTGAGGCCGAGATGTACGCTGGGGCCATGGCTGCACAGGAGCTACGCTGACTGACCTACCTGCTGACCCACTTGAGGGAGCGGCCTCGTTCTCCTCCAGATCTGTACGTCGACAACAAGGCAATGCTTGCCTTGTGTCACGAGCAGAGACTGGAGCACAGAACGAAGCACATTGCTCTTTGCTACTTCCTTGCGTGGCCTCGCAGGCCAACACAGCTGATGTGTTCACCAATGCCCTTGGGTCCGATGATCGTCAGCGTTTCTGTATTTCTCTTGGGCTTGAGCCCACTCTGCCTCACCTGCTGGTTGCTTTACTTGCTCTTGTTGTACACTGATATATATCTTTATACCTGCTTGTTTACTCTTGCTAAGTTGTGATCAGTTTACTGCCTTGCTATTATAACTCTGCATGTGAACTGACCTTGTGGCCGCTTGCTTTGCTAGAAAGGCATGATGCCGGTGTAGCGGAAGCCTTGATTGTAGAAGAGAATAGCAAGAGAACAATGCAACTGAATAGATTGATTATGAAACCTCACAGCAGGGAATTTATGCTACCCTGCCCACACCTATCCATGCACACTAATAATTGTACCACCAATAATGGCAACTCCAATAAAGGAGTACCAATAATTCCACCCCCAAACCTCTAGACTCTAATAATTCTGGCCCTACAATAATTGTACAATTATTGTAGGACCTGGAGTCTTATAAAGGAGACTACAGTAAAAATCTAACAGCATATATAGTTCCTCATGTTTCTATTTCCAACACTCCCCCTTGCTGTAGATTTTACTATAAACCTACTGGGGTTCATTTTTGTGGAGGGTAGGAGTATAAGGTGGTACCGTTGGTGACACAGCTAATTGCGGATGATTCCGGCGAGGATTGCGGATGACAGCGTTGATTGCGGAGCAGACCACGTTAGGGTTTCAAAGTTCCGTTGACGCGTTGTAGAGTTGGGTCGGTTGTCATGTAGCAGATTTCGTGCACGTTCCTCGTCAGGTGTACACTTGGTCCCGACTTTCGGATCTCAGGTGTTTCTTGTTTCGTTGCTTTCACATTGGTGTTGCGCCCTGGTGCTCCTCTCTCCTTCCCACAGCTCTTGCGACCTCGTCGAGCAGGGGTCCCAGTCTTGTCATTTGCTCGCTTTCAGATGTCCCTTTCGAAGCTGTTTCTCTAGCGATGAGTGCTGCTGGCGGAATTATGGCGAAATTATGGCTTAGCTGCTAGCGCGCGACCTAGCAGCAGCCCGAAATGCTCCTCGATCCGCGTTACCTGCTTCCATTGCGCGTCAGCTGTTGTATGTCGCGATATCCGGCAGCATCAGCTGGTGCGCGTCACCAGCGCTCGTGATGTCACGGCTGGCGCTCGGTGACGATAACGCACGTGACGACCTGCAGCGCCGGATGCGCGTTTTCTGCGGCTGCGGCCAGATCCGTGACTGCTGCTTCTGTCGCGTTACTGCTTCCTCTGTCGCGCGGCTGCAGTAACCTTCTCGCTTGACGTCCTGCGCGCTGCAGCTCCGTGCGCGTGACTGCTGTTCACGGCGCTCTGTGACATCGATGCCCGTGGTGATCGGCAGCAGCGGCTGGCGCACGTCTGGAGCATCATGCGCGTTGCTGCATTATATCATATGTGGCGGCTTCTACTGGTGCGCGCCCTCCCCTTGCCATTTCGGACGACCTGGCACTCCTGCAGCACCTCGCGCATGACGCCACTGCCCACGACTGCAACGACGGCCGCACCTGTGGCGAGCTGCAGCACCTGTGGCGCACGGCAGCACCCGTGACGCACGGCAGCACCTGTGACGCACGACTTTCTCCTTCCTGCCGAGGTGAGAATGCTTAGTAGAACCTGACTGTTTCACCCATATTACCTTGTTACCCTGTGATGTTACCTTGTGCTGCTCCCCTTGACCCTGTGCTGCTCCATGTTGCCCTGTGCTGCTCCCCCTATACCAGGTGGCGTACGGGAGCAGCTGCAACTGGTACACAAGCACCTGGCGGCTGCTCCTGCACCTGTCGGCTGCTCCTGCACCTGGCGGCTGCTCCTGCACCTGGCGGCTGTTGACGAGTGGCGGCCGCATCAGCAGCTTGTGCAGGCCAGCTTCTCGTGCCGACCAGCAGCTTCAACTTCAACGGCGTGCAGCAGGGGTCGCACATCAGCAGCACTACCCGGCGCTCGGCAGCAGCATCAGCGGATTGCAGTAGCGACACACTCGCGGAAGTAGCGGCGGGTGAGCTGGAGACGACTAGCAGCAACGGGCTGCTGACCCATTCTTCTGCCGAGGTGAGGTGTTCCGTTTGAGCGAGTGTTGTGCTCTCCTCTCTGCCGCACCCAAGTCCTGACTTCTTGCACCGTCGTATCTTATGCACCCTTGTGAGTGAGGCTCCAGCTTTCTACCCTGCCTCATGCCATGGCCCGTAAGCCTCGTCTTGTTCTGGATGCAGAGTCAGTCATGCCTGCTTTCACTTGTGATGCTATCCCCTTGTCACACCAGCGGGCGCACGGGAGCAGCTGCGGGCGACTGGCCATGGCGGCTGCAACATTTCCTGCCCACCGGAAGCATCACTTGGCCGCTTGCAGCAACATCGGGCCTGCTGCAGCAGATGGCGGCAGAAGCACTCTGCACCAGCACTCTGCCTGCAGCTCCCCTTGACGCCCTTAACCAGAAGCTATGCGGCCTGCAGCAACTGTTGTGGCTCCAGCATGTCTTGGTACGCTACTGCTGCTCCAGCACACGTCCATCACATGCAGCTTGCCTTTTATCTTCGATCAGCAGTAACAGTCGCGTATCCATTCATGACTGTGTAATCCTCCACTGACTCTTGCTGTCGTGTTTCAGGAACGGCTGCTGGAGTTGGCGAGTGATTGTGACCGAGTAGCAGCAGCGACTGTCCAACAGAATATGTTATGGCTGCTCTTGTCACTAATTGCAGTAGGTCTCTTCATGATGCCTGTGTTGACTCTTGTGATGACGAAAATGAAGGATGGTCTTGAAATCAAATCCCGAGTTGTTGTACCCCAAGATGCTCCGCACCCCACTTCCTCTCTCACTCGTGTGTTTGTAGTTATGCACATGTGTGAACACACACACAGCACCAAACACATGAGTGAGATGTGTGGAGCTACGGGATGCCTTGGTGTCCACCGCCCCTTAAGAAGCCCGAACATGTAAGTGCACCTCCAGCACCGTCAATCTGCCGACTTGTTGCAGGCGGTGGTCAAGGCGGAATTGGTTGGAGACCGCACAAGAGGCTGCAGGTGAGATGTTGCTTTGCTATGATGGGCTTGGTGAGGTAATCAGCCGCTTGCTGTGCTGTCGGGCAATACTCCTGCCACACAACACCGTCGCGAACTGCCTTCCGCGTCCAATGGTAACGGACTTCCATGTGTTTTGTGCGTTGACTCATTTGCTCCCCTGTTGCAAGCGCAATTGCGCTCTGGTTGTCCACAAAACGGACAGTGGGTTCTTGCTGTGGGAAACCGAGGTCGTCACACAAGCGTCGAAGGTATGTTGCTTCCCTTGCCCCTTCGAACATTGCAATGTATTCCGCTTCAGCTGTGGACGTGGCAATGACTGTTTGGCGCTTAGTCCTCCAACTGATAGCAGCTCTTCCCAAGGTAAACACGTAGCCTCCAACCGAGTGACATTCCACTTCGTTCGCATAGTCCGAATCCGTGTATCCTCGGAGCACCAAGTCTCCTCTTCCATAGACCAGCCCCACGTCCGTAGTGTTCTGTAAGTATTTGAACACCCTTTGGATTCCTAGTTCTGTTGCTGCTGTTGGCTTGCTTGCTTGTTTGGCCAGCACATGCGTTGCATATGTTATATCCGGTCTCCTTGCTGTTGAGATGTAAAGTAATGTCCCCACTTGTTTCAGCACCAATTGACTGTCAATCTCGTCTGGTGGTTTTCCTTGTGGTCCAGTTTCCTTGGTGATTGGCGTTCTGATTCCGGAGCGACTGCCTTCCATCCCGAAGGTCGCCAAAGCCTGTGAGATGTACTTTGTGAGTCCGAGCGAGATCGAGTCGTTGTCAGCAGTGACGTTGAGCCCCAAAAACTGCGTCATGGTCTTGCTGATGGTCAAGGTAAATTTCTGCTTCAGGTGCTGAATCACAGCTTCAATGCCTTCGTCGTCATGAGATTGGATGAGGATGTCGTCAACGTAGGTGAGTAGCCACACAGTGTCCTTTCCTTCTCGTTTCCAGATTAATAAAGGACGGGTCAGATTCGGATTGCACCATGTCCAGCTCCAACAAGACACCCAGTAAGTGCTGATGCCACAAGCGTGGTGCTTGTTTCAGTCCATACACACTTCTTTTGAGTTTCCAGACTTTGTTTTCGTCCCGCCTTGGTTCTGGTGGTCGTACGTATATATCTCGGTCGATTGGAGCGTACAGGAATGCGTTGGAGATGTCTAGTTGCACCACCTTCCGCTTTGTAGTAGATGCACCAGCAACGAACATGCGAGAGGTAGGTCCTTGGCTGACTGGTGCATACGTCCCATCGTATGTTCCCCATGTCTGCCCGCATCCCTTGACCACCCAGCGCGCTAACTGGTTTGGCTGTCCGTGCTCATCTCGTTTCACCCTGAGAACGACTCCTTCCATCAACACCGTCGTTCCTTTTGGTACGTCCGCTCTGTCCACCACTTCGTATGCGTCCAGCTCATCGAATTTAGCCAATTCTGCATCTACCGCGGCTTGCCAAAGAGGTGCGTACGGGTCTGTTGTCATGTCCTTGAGCGTTTTGGGCTCCTTGTACGTCAAGTCCACCATGGGGATGCCGGTTGCTGCACATCCTAGCACGTGTTGTTGCACGTTGAACGCTTGTGTTGCCCGTTGTTTCCCAAACAGCACGTCCAGTCCTGTCATGCCGTCCGTCCCTTGTTCTTCTCTTCCAAGCACAGTCACCGTTGGGTTGAAATGAACCCGTCGTGGAGTTACGTCATGAGTTGCTAGCTCAATTCCATCAGGTGGCTACGCAAAGTCATAGAGATGACTTGCCTCATTCTCCATGTTGTTGCTTTCAACAACTTTAGGAATAGAGACGCTTGCTGGAGGTAAGTCACTTGCTGTAGCCCCTTCTCCTGTTTTGGCTGTATCGTCAATGGGTGAGTCCTCTTGAGTTGCGTCAACTTCCTGTCCTCGTGCGGTTGTGGGCGAAGTAGGCGATGGTGGGGATGCGGGAAAGGAGTCAAACCTGGAGCCAAAGCCTTCTCCGCCTGAAGTCCAGCCGTCAATGTGCGGTGAGACTTCTTCCAAGTAGCGTTGACGTTCGAGTACTGATTCAGCATCCGGTAACATGAGGTCATCAAAAAAGCGAGCGGAGCGTGTGTCAGTGTCAACGTCGCTTGCCAAGTCCCGCACGATCCATGCCTCTCGTGAGTTAGAGAGGCCGAGAAACATGCCTGTCCGACCTCTCTGCTCAAATTTCCCGAAGCTGCCTTGGGGAGAGAGATAGTAGCACAGGCAGCCAAAGGTCCTTGCCATCGAGACATCTGCCGCCTTTCTCGTCATCATGAAGTACGGTGAGTGTGCCGATGGGTTGCTGCTGTAGCTGATGCGGTTGTGTAGCCATGCTGCATATTCCAGCGCATAAGGCCAGAACCCCCAGTAGTCATTGCGCGCACTCGGTCCATGAGTGTACGGTTAACCCGTTCGGCGACTCCATTTTGCTGTGGCGTGTGTGGCAAGGACGTTTGGCGATTGATGCCGTGAGAGCTAAGGTAATCCGTGAAAGCATTCGCGATATACTCCCCCCCATTGTCCGTGCGCAAGGCAGCCAGCGGCTTCGTGGGCAATTTGGTCTTCATCTCGCGATGCCATGCCAAGAAAACAGTTGCCATGTCGGACCGGCGAGCCAACGGCGCCACCCACAGGTAGTTGGTGTAGTAATCCTTGAGCGTCAGCATGTAGCGAAGTGAAGGGTGAGCGTCACCCAAGTCCATGATATCGCTATGCACGAGCTCCAAAGATCGAGTTGTGCGCTTGTCTCCACCTGTGGGAAATGGGGCTTTGCTCATCTTCCCTCGAAGACATGAGTCACACGGGGGTTTGAGGGGACTTGTCTTGTCGGATATGGTGAGTCCTTCAACATCTCCATTGCGAAATGTTGCGTCCATGGATGTGTATGATGGGTGACCCAAGCGTTTTTGGGCCATGCGATATGTGATCGATGCATGAGCAGACTGCACATTCAGCCCTCCAAGATCAGGTTAATTCGATGCTTCATTCGGATGTTCATGACCAGATTCATGGGCAGATGTAAGTGCAGGCTCATATTGCATCATGAGCACACCATGCATGATCATCCCAATCCCAATGACCACATGCTCATCTCCAGCTGCCATAGTGATCTCAATGTTGCCATCATCACGTGTGCGAATCCGAGCTCCCTTCTTGTGCAGTTGGCAATAAGAGAGCAAGTTGGACTTCAATTCGGGGACATAGAGCACGTCGGTGAAGCGTACGGTTGTTCCATCAGGTGCCGTTGCTCGAATTGTTCCCGCCATCGAGCTCAACAGGTGGCTCCCGTCAGCAAGCTCCACGTACACAGGTTCGTTCAGCTCCTCTACACCCTCAAACCAATCATTTTCTGAAGTCATGTGTTGGCTGCATCCGCTGTCCAGCAACCACATCGACCCTCCGGCTGATGGTAAGGTTGCTTGTGATGATCGAACTGTTGCAACGCATGTAACGGTTCGTTTGTTGTCTCCCTCGGCTGCCCCTTGCTGTTTTGTCGCTTGGTTGTCACGTTTCGGACTTTCATTCCTTCGAGGCGAGGACGAACGGCTACTCCAGGTGCGCTGGTTTGTTCTCCCTCTGTTTTGTGGTTCCCAACCTGGTGGTGACCAACCCGGAGGCGCCTTGGGACACTTGTAGAACGGGTGGCCGGATTCCTTGCAGTACCAACACACAAGGTTAGACCGTCCTCCTTTTCCTTCGTTGCCTTTGAATTTGTCCCCAACCGGCGCATGCTGCCCTCCCGTTGACCTTGTCGCATTCGGGTTGCCCTTTGTCTCGATCCTCTCCTTTGCTGGTGAAGTATCTCCACGTGCTTGACCAGCCATGCGGGGAGGACGTTTGTCACGGTTGGTCTTGCTAATGAGGTCTTGGTAACGTTGTTCCTGAATCATCATTCGCTGTAGTGTGTAGCTGTCCGAGATGTCGTGTAGCATTGCTGAATGCCTTAGCTCCTCCCAATGCGGCGGCAGCCCAGTAATCAGATTCAAGGTGAATGAATCTTCATCCACCATTTTTCCCGCCATTGCCAACTTGTCACGAATTGCACACCTTCCATGCCCACATGACTGGTTCGACCACTCCCTTCACCAATCTGTCCTCTCATGTTTCTTCCCATGCCGATCCCATCACCATGCTCCATCACATTCGTTCCACTCCCGTACGCATCATCCCTCCCCGTTGCTTTCCTTTGCATGGTTGATTGAGGTTCGGGGTGGGAGCTCCCTTCTCCTTGGAATGATGCATCCTTCCCTTGGGATGACTCTCCTCCTTGGGGTAAGCTTCCCTCTCCTTCACCTTCAATCTCTGCATCCATATTTGAAGCATGTGTTTGGTTAGTACGCGGAGTGTTTGGGTTGCTGAAATCTCGAACTTGGGCTGGCATGTTGAACTTTGCTCTTAATGACGCTTGGAGTGTCGGTGGTGCCCTTGCAATCATGTTCTCCATGTGCTCATGTTGAGCCATGATGGCTTCTTCAAACGCCTCGTATCCAGCATCAACCTCATCGTCGAACCGCGCCATGCCTTCAATCCAAATGTTGTCACTTGCTGTGCGAGTTTGCTAATATGTCAGTCCAATGTGAATGCTGATAAGGTTCTGACCAAATTTCGGCAGCATGCCCCCTAGAGTAGCTTTGATACCATGCTAGAAAGGCATGATGCCGGTGTAGCGGAAGCCTTGATTGTAGAAGAGAATAGCAAGAGAACAATGCAACTGAATAGATTGATTATGAAACCTCACAGTAGGGAATTTATGCTACCCTGCCCACACCTATCCATGCACACTAATAATTGTACCACCAATAATGACAACTCCAATAAAGGAGTACCAATATTTCCACCCCCAAACCTCTAGACTCTAATAATTCTGGCCCTACAATAATTGTACAATTATTGTAGGACCTGGAGTCTTATAAAGGAGACTACAGTAAAAATCTAACAGCATATATAGTTTCTCATGTTTCTATTTCCAACATGCTTGTGCTCAGATTGTGTGGTGTCCTTGAGATCCACCCTGAGCTTTGCTTTGATTTGTTCTCTTGTGAATCTTTGTTGTGTTTGCTATCCCCCTCTTTGCCTATGGGGGTGTGTCAAATTGCATTTGTATGTGTAGGCTGTATTGGGGTAGCCTCTACTGAGTACAACATTTTAGGTCAAACCTAGTACTTAAAACTGTGGTGGTGCTGGATAATTGGCATGGTTTGTCTTGGGGGTAGGCTGCGAATTGGTGGTAACCACATCTTGCATTAATTTGTTTTCTCGTGTAAGCGTTTGTTCTGTTTGCTACGATCGAATAACCTGCTTCTTAGTGAGTTCTTCACATAATTTGATAAACGGGAATTCGTGGTGAGAGGATCCGTGCTGGGCGAGCTGGATTGGTTGGCTCACGATCTCTCACGTGCGAGGACCGCCAGAATGTATGGTCACCGATTTTCTTGTAGTTCATGTGGAGGTTGTCAGCAATGGTCGGGGGCCAGGTGTGCGCATGTTATTGTAGCAGTCTCGCAATTCCACGAAATCTGGAGTAGAGATTTGGCATGTCAATGTGTCAGTTGTGGACTTGTGGTGATGTGTGGTGGAATGGAAGTGAGAGTCGTACAACTGTAGATTCCAGCAGTGAGCGAGCAGTTCTACCCGCTTCATGGCACTGGTGGGAATCTCGACAGTGTTGTCCATTGTCACTCGTTTCGCTCATTCAGCCCAAATTGGTGGTTTGCGCTTTGCGATCATCGGCGAAAGAGTGAGAATTGTTACTGTGTGCACTTGCTCTAAGGCTGAGGTCGTGAGACAGTGACTAGCGCTGAGAGTGGGAGGTTGCGCAGTGTGTACGTCAAGTCTTTTTGCGAGTTTCGTGAGGTTTGGGAGACCCCGGGTCGCAGGAGAAAAAGGATTCCATCTGATGTTCTTGGGCAGGTTGAGAGACCTCACCTGAAATACTGCCGCTTGCACGAAAGAACTTGTATTCAATCAGAGAAAAGGAGACGAATTTCGTGATCCATCCGATAGTGTTACGCACAGCATTTTCTACTTCGCTCATCTTCGCTTGCTCGCTTGTATACCAAGCCGAGGCGCTGTTCTGGGGCACAGCACTCTAGTCTACAGTACGCGTATCAAAGGATGCTCCTGACGTCATGCGTGCCCAGACCACTCATGCGTGACCACGTTCACTGCAGAGCAGAGCAGAACTCCCCTTTGCCCGACAGTCTGCTTGGCCTGGGCTTTGTCTCCCCCTATCCCTCCTTCCACGTTCCCCCCCCCTCCCCCACCCCATCTCTTCCCCCCTCGTCTTCCAAAGATTTTCCCCCATCCATTTTTTCCTCCGCTCTCCTCTCTCCCCCCGACTTCTTCAACCCCTCCCCTCTCCCCATGCTTCCCCCGCAAACTCCCTCCCTTACTTCCCACAACCCCGCTCCCCTTCCTCCCCCATCCACCAGCACAGCACAATTCATTTGTCGGGTCAGCACAGCAGCTTTCATTTGCATCCGCCTCGCATGCGAACGCCCCATCCTCCCCCCATCCTGCCACCCACCTCCGTCACTCTCTGCCGCATAATAACCCAGCACTACCCCTCCAGCAGTACAAGACACCAGTGCCACCCCCCTCCCCACTTTCCGTTCCGCCCGCCCCCTCCGTCACTCTCTGCCGCATGTACAGCACACCAGTGCCACTCCCCTCCCCACTTTCCGTTCCGTCCGCGCGTCCCTGTCAAGAAGCGCCCTCCTCTCATCAGCTTCCTGCCGCCCCCTCCTCCCTCTCCTCCCTTGCTCGTTCGTCCAGCCTGCCTGCGGGCCTGCAGCAGCAACACTCGCCGAAACCTGTTGACCGCTGTGGCTATTTGTTCAGGTGGAGTTGAAAAGAAAACCACACGAGACTTCAGAGCATCACAAACACTCAAATCGCGAGACGTACGAGACAGAAAGGCTAAAGCTTCACTTCCGCCTCGCATTGTATTGCAGCACCGCTTTTGCATCGCAGCCGTAGAGTGGGTGTCTGGATTTTCCGCTTTCCTTGACCGGCCCACGTTCTTAAAACCGAAAAAGAGCAGTTCCCTTCGCATTCTCTCCGCCTGCATTCCCGCTTAGGTCACAGTTGCGCAGACCCAAACGAGCGAGCGTACTGAACACGCGGAAGCAATTAGCGCGAGGCGGAATTGCGCGGAGGAGGAATTGCGCGGAGGCAAAATTCTGCGGAGACATACCACCAGCGCGGAGCTCGAGTAGCGCGGAGCTCGATTAGCGCGAAGCTCGGGTAGCGCGGAGCTTAGATCCCGCGGAAACACAAGCGCGCGCAGAGGCCGAGTAGGGACTGGCGATGTGCGTGAGTAGCGGGAGCGCTCCGAGCGTGTCCTAGTAGATTAGCAGCGAAAGGGGAGTGAAAAAATTGAAAATCTCGTTTCAATTTTCTCTTTTGAGATTCTCAAAGGTGACTCCAATTCAGCATAGTGGGGAATAGAAGAGAGCAGAAGGGGAGGAGCCGAGCAGAAATTTATCGTCGCGAGAAAAGGTCGGCGGTACAATGGCGGGCGCGGGAACGGGCGCAGTGTTTGCGCGAGAGGGAATGCAAGTGGAGGCGGTTCCCGGAACAGGATTTCTCGCAAATGGGAGGCTGACTGGAGGCGCGGGGAAGTTCTCCGCGGAAGAATCGGGGGGAATTCCGCCGGTTGCGGAAGCCCGCGCGGGTGGCGCGGGGGGCGCGGGGAGCGAATGGTCGGCGGAAAAGTACCGCGTCTTTGTGGAGAGTATCGTGGAGGAGAGCGCGCGGCTGGCGGAGCAGCAGCGCGGGGAGGGCGGAAATCTGGGGAGCGGGAATTCGCAGCAACATCATTTAAAAACGCAACACATGCAAGGTCAAAGCAGGCCGCGGAACCAACGGGCAGGCTGCGGAGGGGCAATCAACGGAAGGAGCGCAGCGGGGGGAGCGCACGGTGCCGCTGCTCCGCCCGGCGCGGACGGCGAAACTGGTAACGGCGATTCTTCGCAGGCTGCTGCGCTGGCTTCGGTGTTACAGTTTTTCGCGGACTCGTTGGCGCAACACGAGGGGGGCGCGGCGGAAATTCGGCCGTCTCCATCAAGCAGCGCGCAGGCCAAAGCGCGCACGCCGCGCGCCACGTCAGATCCCGCGGGATGCGCGGCTCCGCAAGACCGTGGAGGCGCAAGCGGCGGCGGAAATTGCGCCGCGAACGGCGCTGGTGGAGCGGAATGCGCGAGCGCGTTGAGCGCGGATGCGACAGGCGGCGCGGCGGATGCAGCGCGGGCAGCGGAGAAATCTTTTGGCGGATGTAAACCCGACGAAATGCGGGACGGAAGCGCTGAGTTATTCGACTGTGGAAATTTTCGTATGGGCAGACAAGATTCCGACCCGGGCAGGGGCGGCGGAACTTCAGGTGGAGCGCTATTGAGTGGAAATGGCCGCGGGGAGAAGGGAGCGAAGAAAAACGGGCAGAAGAAGGGGCAGGCGGGTAGAGGAGTGCAGAGGAAACAACAGCCGCCGCCGCCGCAGCCGCAGCAGCAGCAGCAGCCGCCGCAGCAGCCGCAGCAGCAGCTTAACTGGATTTTGCCGAACCAGTTTGCACCTTCACCGAGCCAGAATATGCCGAACCAACTCAGCATATCACCGAACCAAAATGGGTTGCCGAACCAACTCGGGCCTTCAACAAACCAGAATGGTCTGACAAATCAGTTCGGGCCTTCACCGAACCAAAGTGGTCTACCGAACCAACAGGAACAGTCTCTTCCCAGCAAGCACTCATTTACCTATGGTAAGACTCTCTGCTATTTCCCCTGTGTCATTCCAGTAATGATTACGATATAAATTGAATAATCTACCTAGTACCTAAGGTAAAACCCGCTGCTTTCTTGAAAATTCCCATACTTGATTTCACAGTAGCTTGCCATGGTAATACACTGCTGCTCTTGCTGCTGCTTTTTTCCTTCTTTCTCCTCATATTATGCCCTTCCGTCTCTCTCCTCTGCTTTCCGCATTCTTCCCCTTCTCCTCCTTCCTGTGCCCACATCCACTCACCGCCCCCGCCCCCCCACCCGCTCCCCCTCCCCCCAGGTCACCCCGCGCCCCACCAACCTCCCCCCTGCGCGCCACCATCAGTCCCGCCTCTGCTTCCCCCCTGCGGGAACCACCTCAACACCACTCACATACCTGCCCGAAATACTGCCCCGATTTCTGCGCCGGGCAGAAAGAAATTCGTGCTCGTGGGGGCTCCAAACCCCTCAGCTGCCCCTCCTCCTCCTGCTGCTGCTGCTGCTGCTGCTGCTGCTTCATTTTTCCCTCCGGGGAACTCTGATCCGATAGCAGAAAATGAAGTTTTGAGACGTCTCAAAACTGTTCCGATAGCAGAAAATGAGCCCCACGCCTCCCCGTCCCTTCTCGCTCCCTCTTCCCTGCTCGCTCCCCCTCCCCTGATTGCTCAGCCTCCCCCGCTTTCTTCCCCCCACTCGCTTGCTACCCCTCACCCGCGTGCTTCCCCTCCCCCACATGCGGAAAAGCGAGTGATGCAACGTGGACAAGGAATGGGAGGAGGAGGGGGGGGAGGAGGGGGAGGAGGAGGGGGAGGGGGAGGAGGAGGGGAGGATGAATTTGTGCAAGAGTTTATGTTGAGGGCTGATAGTGAGACGCTCAGTGGAAGCACACTGTCAGAAGGGCAGCAGCAGCAGCAGCAGAAGCAGGGGAAGGAGGAGCAGCAGCAACAACAACGGCAGCAGGAGGAGCAGGAGGAGGAGCAGCAGGTGCTGCAGGGGTGTGACTATATGCAAGCGGGTGACTACGTACACGGTGATTCTAACAAGCGAGGGGTTGCTACAGGGATGGAGTGTGACTTTGCTGAGAATACTGCTGCTGACTGTGGTGCTCCTGTTGGTGTTTCCATGCCGTTTCAACCCTGCAACCGCGCAGCTGCTGGGCCTTTTGAGGCGCCTCAAAAGTCGAAGACTGCTGCTGACTGTGCTGTTCCTGTTGGTGTTTCAATGCCATTACAATCCAGTAACCGCTCAGCTGCTGGGGCGGATGGTCCGGGAGAAACAATAGCAGGAGCAGCAGCAGCAACAACAACAACAGCGGTAGCAGCAGGCGAAGGGATGGAGGCATTGGGAGGCCCGGTGTTCAGCTTCGGGTCAGGCCAAGGCTCGGAGCAAGGTCCGAAGCAGGGTTCGGAACGAGGTTTGGAGGGAGATTCGGAGCAAGGGAAAGATCGGGAGCAGGAGCAGGGTGCTGGAGCTACGGAAGAGATGCAGGAAATGCGGATGGTATCAGCTGCTGTGACTGTACCGAACGGGACTGTAACGGGCGTGACAGGACACGGTGTGTCTATAAAAGGGGGCAGTGAGGAGGAGTTTATAGTGAGTGGTTCGGAGCATGGTTTGTGGCTGTCGAGCCTGACGGATTTCCAAACCAAGAAGCTCGAGGAGTGGTTCGGCACGGACCTGAACCCGTCTCCGGAGCAGAGGGCGAGCCTCGGCACCAGCCTCGGGCTGCTGCCGCAGCAGGTACGTTCAAGCAACGAAAGAATGAGTTTGAATCCCCCCTGCAACAACAGCAATCATCACGACACATTGCTGCTCTCTTCTTCTTTCCTTCTCCATCCCCTTCGCTCTCTTCCCTTCCTTCAGATTGCCTCCTGGTTGCACCACCGTCGCTTACAGCACATATTGCAGCACACAGTGCAGCAGCAGCAGCAGGCGGGCCGCTAGAGTCCCTCCGATCAGCCTTCTCCCTACTTTAGTCCCAACAACGCATCCCAGTGCCTGTTTCTCTCCTCCTTACCCCCTTCTCCATCCCACTTGCCCTTTCTCCTCCAGATCGCCTCCTGGTTGCATCACCGTCGCCTGCAGAACACAGTGCAGCAGCAGCAGAAAGAGCTCGAGTCCCTCCGATCGGCCTTCTCCCGACTACAAGCATCAGCGAGTGGCATGAGCGGGGATTACGAGCTTCTTCAAGCTGACTATTTCACTCTGTTGGACAAGAAGGAAGAGCTCACAAGCAAGGTGAGAAGGTGTAGAGCGGGGTGATAAGGGGTGTTTTGCGGTGGAGTCCCTTTGATCGGCCTTCTCCCGCCTGCAAGCATCAGCGAGTGGCATGAGCGGGGATCAAGCTTCTTCAAGCTGACTATTTCACTCTGTTGGACAAGAAGGAAGAGCTCACAAGCAAGGTGAGAAGGTGTAGAGCGGGGTGATAAGGGGTGTTGTGCGGTGGAGTCCCTTTGATCGGCCTTCTCCCGCCTGCAAGCATCAGCGAGTGGCATGAGCGGGGATCAAGCTTCTTCAAGCTGACTATTTCGCTCTGTTGGACAAGAAGGAAGAGCTCACAAGCAAGGTGAGAAGGTGTAGAGCGGGGTGATGGACAAGCACGTCCCCATGCCTGTTGGACAAGCACGTCCCCATGCCTGTTTCACTTTTGAGACGTCTCAAAAGTACTATTTTTACACGTGGCTACTTCAAACACGTCCTCATACCTGTTTCACTTACAACCCCACACTTTCCCCTGGCCCCCCTTTTTTTTCTCATGTTTCTCCCTTTTCCTCTCCGCCCTGCTACAGCTTTCTGACGTGGCATCCAGGCTGGCAGCAAAGCACCGTTCCTCAAGCTCCAGCAATCCAGGCAGTTCTGGGGGAGGGGTTTCCCAGACAGGTGTATTCCGGGCAGCTTCTGCCGAAGCAGATGTCGATCGGGCAGGCTGGAACCGGGCAGGTGGGTCACCAAGGGAGGGAGAAGAGCGGGCAGCAGTTGCAGCAACGGGAAAGAAAATTATGGTTGGGGTTGGATTGGGTGATTGGTTGGGAAAAGACGCGGGAACAATGATGGGTAAGGGGGACTATGCTGAGTGTGCTACTATCGCAATAGGAGATGCTCCTTCTGCCACCGCTGCTGTTTCTCCCGGCACCGCTGCTGCCAATGCTGCTGCTGCTGCTGCCACTGCTGATGCTGCTGCTGTTGCTGCTGATGCTGCTGCCACTGCTGATACTACTGCTGGTGATTGTGCTACTGCTACTGGTGCTGCTGCTGCAGCTTGTATGGCAGTGGATGGGAGAGAATCAGCAGGGACACGAGGAGATGGAGAGAGTGAGGGGGGTTCCAAGAGTTTCCAAAACAGCAATCATGAAACAAGCATGGGGGAGACAAGGAGTGGCAAGGAGAAGGAGGAGGCGAGAAGCATAGAAAGGCTTGCTCATGTTTTTGCTGCCGCCAGTGCTGCCGGTGCTGCTGGTGGTGCTGGTGCTGCTGGTGGTGCTGGTGCTACTTGTGCTGACGATTACGGGCGTATGGCTGGTGCTGTGACTATCAATAGTCAGCTTAAGGCATGTGGAAGCATGACATTTCTGCATCAGCAGCAGAAGCATCAGCATCAGTATGTCGACACTGCAACAGCAGCAGCAGCACAGACACAGGCACAAGCACAAGCCGGTGCAGCAGCTGCGGCCGAAGCAGCATCGGTGGCAATGCCGACACCAGCACCGGCGCCGGAATCAGCACCAACATCACACAGCACACCCCTTTCACTGCAAAACGACCCGGCTATTACCGCTGCTGCTAATGCTGATGCTGATGCTGCTGATGCTGCTGCTGCCGACACCACTCCTGCTACATTGTTCGTGTTCGGATCCTTACAGAGTTCAATCTCCCCGGGTTCATCCCCCACACTCGTCTCCCCATCGCCTCCCACCTCTTCCCACCACACTGGAACTACTCTATCTCCTCCGGCTGCAAATCCTCCTGGTTCTGGTCAGCCGCCCTGGCACTTAGCTAAGAGGCAGCGGCGTCCATGCGACAGGATTTCGCTGGTGGGAGAAGCGGCAGAGCCAGGAGCAGGATTCCCAACATTAGCAGCAGAAGAAGCAGCAGCAGCAGGGAGGGTTGCAGCAGCAGCAGTGACAGCATCAGCAACAGAAGCAGGACCAACAGGACTTCAAGAAAATCCTCCCTTCATCCCCCCTTCACTCTTTCCTCCCTCCTCCCCGGGAGCATTCGAACAAGGAGGAGGCATCTGGGCACAAGATACACCTGATACGTCACCTGACACATCACCTGATACTGCCAGTAACATTGCTGTTACAATCACTGGTAACAACATGCTTCAACAGAGTCTGGTTGGGTCGGGGCCTGCTGATTGTGCCAGGACTCCACCAGACCTGTTCCCCGGAATGGCTGGTAAGCCACCGAACCTGCTGCTCAGGTTTGGAGAACAGGAAGATGCGGAGCCTGGATTTCCTGGTATGGAAGTCCTTGGAGATCTCAACTCACCCCATGGATTTTGGGACCAAGCTGAATGACTTGTGGAACAGAATACTATGCTGCTAGCTTTCCTATGCTGTTTATGCCAGGGCCTGTGCTAGGATTTCGGACATCCTGAGTCCTCAGGGCAACTTTTGAAAATTCTCAAGAATGCCCTGATTTTTCAGGGCAATTTTTTATGGCCATCCTGAAATTTCAGGGCACCAAGAGTAGTTCATCCTGATCTCTCAGGAAAAAAAAAATCACAAGACATGAGAGGTGGAGGAGAAGGCACGATACGGTACGACTGGGAAGCCCGGTGCATGCATGGTACGGTACGATGAGGAAGCGGCGAAATCCTCGGGAGGAGACAAAACCAGTACACACACACCCCCGCCCCTTCCCCCCCCCCCCCCCCCTTCCCCTTCTGCATTCAGGGCAGTCCTCTACCTTAGTCCTGATGCTTCAGGGCAAAATCTCACTGCCTTCCTGAAATTTCAGGGCTCAACACAAAAAATATCCTGAAACAGAGCTCAGGTTTGCAGTGTAATTTACCCTTCTATACTGATAATAAGGGTGAAATTTTGAGTCTATACTGATGGGCTGGGGTTTTTTTTGGTGAATTATTGTTACACTGATCTGTAAGGGAATCGTTGTAGGCCACACTGATGCCTTGGGGTAATTTTATAGATATCGAAGATTACACTGAAGGGCGTACAAATACAACCCCTCCCCCCCCCCCCCCCCCCCCCCCCCCCCTTTTTTTTTCCCCGAGATTTGTCAGATCGTGATTTCCGTCAATCACGCAAGTACCGAGGTTACCTTCCGTTCAGTACGTGCGTTCGCTGCTGTCACGTGTCCGATTGGTCACTTAGGAATCATTCCCTTGCCAGCACGACACGCAACCCAATTTAGGGGGCAACTACAGTATTGCTGCCTGAACTAGGTCTAGCAACTGTTGTTAGAATACTAGGTGAGAAGTCATTGCATTAGGTCGAGCGGGTGGTACAAGTAGAAGGTTGAGAGAAAAGTTGTACCCCCTAGGGCTAAACCCACTACAGCCTAGAGCAATATAAACAAAGGCGAAGTGGGGGATAGCCAGCGCAAACAATGGTCACAAGACCAGTCAAGAGAAGAAGCAAAGCCAAGCAAAGCTCAGGGTGGATCTCAAGATCACCACGCATTCCGAGCACAAGCAAGTGGCCACAAGGCCAGTTCACATGCAGAGTTTATAATAGCAAGAGTAGTACACTGATCACAACCTAGCAAGTGTAAGCATGCAGTTCTACTCATACGTATCAGTGTACAACAAGAGCAAGATCAAGAGAAAAGCAAGTGAGGCAGAGTGGGCACAAGCCCAAGAGCAGTGCAGAAACGCTGATGATCACCAGACCCAAGGGCCTTGGTGAAGACATCAGCAGTGTTGGCCCGCGAGGCCACGTAGGAAAGGCGGAGCTGACGACACTGCTGCAGCTCTCGCGCAAGGAAGTAACGAAGAGCAATGTGCTTCGTTCTGTGCTCCAGTCTCTGCTCGTGACACAAGGCAAGCATTGCCTTGTTGTCGACATACAGAACTGGAGGAGAACGAGGCCGTTCCCCCAAGTCGGTCAGCAGGTAGGTCAGTCAGCGTAGCTCCTGTGCAGCCATGGCCCCAATGTAGATCTCGGCCTCACAGCTGGAACCAAGCACAGAAGAAGAATGAGAGGACCTCCACGAGACAGAACTAGAGCCAAGACTGAAGGTGTAACCCTGTGACGAATGCTGAGTCGCCTGGTCGTCGGCCCAAAAAGCGTCGGAGTCTCCTGTGAGTACCACAGAACCCCGTCCTCCAAGCACGAGCCCCATGCCCGATGTACTGCACAAGTAACGCAGTACCCTTTTAGCAGCATCCCAGTGCACCTTTCGGTGTCGACCGTGAGCCACGTAGCGAGCCACAAGGCTGAGAGGGTACGCGAGGTCAGGTCGCGTGCAAGTCATCAGGTACATGAGGCAACCCACAAGCTCTGGGTACGGACCACTTGGCTCTACGAACTCGTCCAAAGATGGAGCTGAGAGCGAGTGGCCGGTAGATAGAGGATTGGGCGGTGGCGAGGAGAACTAGAAGCCGAAGCGCTGAAGGACCTGGTGTACCATGTGTGACTGAGTCAGGGTGATGGTGCACCGTGCTCTGTCCCGGGTGATCTGCTGGCCAAGATAGCTCCGCAGCTTACCCATGTCAGTGCAGGTGTGTCTCTCTTGCACCTCCACCTTCACTAGGGACAGCGCCTCCGTGTCAGCAGTAGCAAAAACCAAGTCGTCGACGTACACGAGAATGTAGAACGGCGGCAGGGTAGTGTCGGTGCGCAGAAACAGCGACGGGTCAGCAGTCGAAGGAGCAAACCCAAGAGCCGCAAGTGTAGTCCTCAGTGTGTCGTGCCACTCGCAAGGTGCCTGACGCAGGCCGTAAACTGGTCGCCATAGGCTCCACTGGGTACCCTCAGGAAACGACCCAGTGAAACTAGGTGGACGATGCAGCCAGATGGCCTCGTGAAGGCTACCCTGCAAGAAAGTTGTGGAGAAGTCAAGAGAATGCAGCTCGAAGTCACGCTGAGCTGCAACGTGTAGTAACACCCGAAGAGTGGTCATCTTCGGGGTAGGGGAGAAGGTATGGAAGAAGTCGACCCCCTGTCGCTGACTGAAGCCTTGAGCAACGTAGCGCACCTTGAAGGCAGGCGGAGAACCCGGCGGCCGCTTCACCCTGAAAATCCACATGCCACTGATGATGTTCGCCCCAGGTGGGGGAACCTCGTCAACGCAGGTGCCTGTGGACTTCCAGGAAGCCATCTCTGCGTCCATGGCTGTCTGCCACTGAGAGGAGTACTCACCCGAGATCGCCTCTCTGTAAGAGCGTGGGGTGGGGATGTCAAGTGCATGTGGGTCTCCCTCAGGGGCAAGCAGCATGGTCGCGAGATGAGGTGCAGCGGTTGCAAGACACTCCAGCTCCTCGTGCCTATCCTCAAGAACGTCTTAGCCAAGGGCAACCTCACCCCCGACGGACGGAGGACAGGCAGGGTCAGGGTCAGAAACGAGACTCGCACGGTAGTCTATGTGGTACGCAGCAGCAAATTCAACTAGCTCAGCGACTAAGGCAGACGCAGCACGAGACGAGAGCGTAGAGTCTGTCACATCCGTAGCAAGAAAGCAAGTAGAAGTCGGACTGGACGCACGAGCAAGGTCAGACGAAGGGTGAGCACCAGCGGGAAGAGAAGACTCAGGAGGTGAAGGCAGGACAATACGCAGTGGAATAGAGGAAGGACGGAGTGTCATATCATGAGTGCCTAGGACAGCCGGAGCACGAGAACAACAAACACGAGGAACATGAGTACGGACAGAGGCTCTAGTCTCAGGCTCTCGACACTCAGGAGTGGAAGCACGAGTTTCAGGCTCTCGACACTCAGGAGTGGAAGCACGAGTCTCAGGCTCTCGACGCTCAGTCAGGGACTCTGTCACAACAGTGTAAGGAGCAGGAGCAGGCAGTGGGGAGCGAGGCAAGAGCTGTGGGAACAGCAACGGAGGAGTAGTACCAGCGACTGGGAACTCAGTAGGAGCTGGCAGAAGGGCGAGAAGGTTGCTAAGCGCACCAGCAGGTCCAGTACCTCCAGCAGTGGTAGCTCCAGCACCTCCAGCACCTGCAGCACCTCCAGCACCTCCAGCACCTCCAGCACCTAGAGCACCAACAGCTCCAGTACCTCCAGCACCAGCAGCTCCAGTACCTTCAGCACTAGTGGTACCTCCAGCACCTCCAGCACCTCCAGCACTAGCAGGACCTCCAGGACCAGTAGCTCCAGCACCTCCAGCACCAGCAGCTCCAGTACCTCCAGCACCAGCAGCACCTCTAGTACCTCCAGCAGTACCTCCAGCACCTCCAGGACTGGACTCTCCACCGCCACCAGGACTCGCAGCACCCCTAGAGTCAGCACCCCCAGTCTCAGCACCTCCAGGCTCAGCACCAGCAGTCTCAGCTCCTGAGTCCACAGCAGCAGGCTGCGGAGGTGGCGAAGACAGGGGGGGTCTCCAAGCATGGAGAGCGGCGAGTGGCCGCCGTGTCGTCAGCAATGGGGTCACCCCCCTCAGTTGGGCAAGAGGAGTCAGAAAAGACCTCCAAAGGCTCAACCAAGGGGGGTGGGTCTACCTGAGACACACCTGAGGGAGCAGGACCCTGTGGGGGGAGGGGGTCAACCGAGGGGGGGACAGGGACCAGGAAGAGAGGTGCGAGGGGGACAGGGTGGGGCGCGTGCGGGTGAAGCCTGTAATAACAGACAGACTCGTCAAAGGTGACGTCCTGGGAGGAGAAGACTCGATGCGAGCTCGGGTGGTAGAACTGCCACGGCGGGGCGTCGGTGGGGAAGCCAAGGAAGATGCAGCAAAGAGTGCGAGGGGAGAGCTTGCTCGCAGTGGTATCGCGAACAAGGGAGAGCGCACCCCAGACCCGAAACACCGACGCATCGCCAACCTGTCCCGTCCAACGGATTGTGGGCAAAGAGACACGGGGCCAGAGGTTGAGCTGATGCGCAGCGTATCGGACCGCAAACGACCACAGAATATCGGGAGCAGCCGCATGGATCATGGAGGTACGAGCAACCTCCATGATCAAGCCAATGCGATGCTCAGCAATCCCATTTTGCTGAGGAGATGCCGGAAGTGTGAACGACTGGACGATGCCCTCGTCTCGACAGAACTCTTCAAGGAGGTCACAAGAGAACTCACCGCCCCTGTCAGAGTGCAGACGCAGGATTGGCAAGTCTCGACTAAACCAATCGCGCAGCTGGCGATGAGTAGCACGGATCCAGGGGATCAAAACTCCGCTGACGTCCGCCTTGTTGTGCAAGGGGAAGACAGTGGTGTAGCATGTGTAGTCATCAACAACCAGCAGGAAGTAGCGCTCCTGGTACGTTCCACCAATGGGGGCCGGGCCCCAAACGTCCATGTGGAGAATCTGCAGAGGAGCAGTGAGGAGGAAACTCGGAGGAGTGAGGAGCGGCGCGCTGCCGCCCCTTAACGCAGGGAAGGCAGGGCGGTGCAGGCGAGCGTGCGAGGGAGGGCAGGGACCTGGGAAGCCCAAAGACAAGGAGACGGGAGTGCATGCTGCGGAGACGCGGAAGGGAGGGGTGACTAAGGCGGTGGTGCCAGAGGAGAGTCTGGTGGGAGAGTACCCGACACGAGCAGGACGCTGCAAGCTGACCAGACGCAGACACCTGACTCGACGCAGTCACCTGACCTGACTCAGCCACCTGTGCAGACGCAGTGGTCAGTGTGTACAGACTAGACCCAGGCTGTCGAGTGAACGTAGCTAGGTGACGGCCAGTCCGGAAGCACGTACAGATCGCCACACGCTGCCCTCCAGGAGTAAAGGTGTCAACCCATACATCCTGAAGAGCAGCGTTGCTCACCAAGTTCGTGGAGAACGTGGGGAGAT